AAACATAAAAACTAATAAAATTTTCTTCAAAACTATATATTTTTGTGAATACAATAAGAAATTAGAGTTATCCAGGATCAGATGTAAAAATCTTAATCGGGTCGCTCTGGAAAATTTTTAAAAATCATCAACCATTTTGCCAGTTTTAAATTTTTTGTCACTACAAATTATTTATTGCCACCAGTTTTACTTACTAATTTATGCAGGTACTGGTAGCCTTATCAGTTTAGAGTGGAAAGCAAAAGTAACATGTTAAGCTGTCACTTAGAAATAGGAATTATTTTTGAATAATTCTTTAATAAATAATTCTGAATAACACATTTGATTGCAATGTTTAAACAGTATTTCACATGTTCTGTCAAGTCAAAATTTTTTTGTTTTAATCTAATGAAAAAAGATCAAAGTGAAAAAAAATGTTGCCTAAAAAATTCTCTAAATTGTCTGTCAGTCGATAAAAAATCCCCAATCAGCAAATGCTGGGTGGCATTGCATGAAAACTGCCTTTGGTTCTTAATGTCACTTCCTACTTTCCTGCCCAAACTTGTCGCATGATGTCACAAAATCACTAGGTGTGTGGTGTATGGGACTCCATTGCATAAGAGCTTGACATTCTTCTGTTTTTTTTATTGTTTTTTGAAATCGTGTCCTGTTTTATATTTGTGGCGTAGTAAACACTAGTATTGTGTTTTATTCCAAAGACACAATACTAGTGTTTAAATATTTAAATTTGTTTACTCAATTAACTACATACAAACTTGTACAGCAGCAGCAAAAAAAAATTTTAAATTAAACTAGAAAAACTAATGTTTTTGATCATATTTAATGATGTTCAACAAGTTTGATGTTTACAAATATTAATGGAAAATATTTATATTATTATTTTGTATTTTATGTAAATATTTTTTTATATTTAAACTTCAATCAGCATTCAGATATTTTCATTTTTATTTGTAAATATTTGATTTTTTAAACATTAAACATTTGACAAATGAATGTCATTAAACGTGATCAAACACATTCATTTTTTCCACCTTTTGGCTGCTCTACAAGGTTGTATGTAGTTGATTGAGTGATCTATTGAAACAGTTACTTCAGAATTAAATTTGTTTAATTGAATTCTTATAAACAAAATATACATTTAATGAAATTAACACCAAGTTGTATAATCATTATCATCTCGAGACTAACAAACATTTTATATTTTAATAATTTTAAGTCTAAATTTATTTGTAAATGTATTCTCTGAAGAAAACATGATTTATAGATTAAAATATTTAAACTGTTAAATAGTATGTCAGCATTTAACAACATTCAGTTCAAGTTACAAACTTGTTTTGTTTTCTTAAAAAGTACTAAAATATGAAACTATTTTCTGTACTAAAATTAACTCATCATCTGAAATACATGTTCGAAAAGAATGCTACCATATTAAATTACTACAATTATGTTAATTATTACCTGAGAAGTATTCAATGAACATCAATGAATAGAGTAACTGTCGAAATTTCATCTCCCATCTACTTTCAAACATTGTGTTATCTAAGTTACTACCTCTAGAAAATGCTGTAAACAAAAATGGCGACTCTGCAACGGAAAAGACATTTTGTGTTTTGAAACTCACAATATCACCAAAGAATGTCTTGATGGATTACTCGAAATTGTCTATGAAACTCATGTGTCACAATGATAAGTGATTCTGACTTTGTAAGCTGCAGAACACATAATGCCTTTTCTGTTGCAGAGTTGCTATTTTTGCTTATGGCACTTCTCAGAGGTAGTAGATAACGAACGTTTGAATGCAGGTGGGAGCAGTGTGCTATCCCGGACAGTTACGCTATCAATTGGTGTACATCACTTACTTCTGAAATAATAATTAACATTGCTACCATTTTAAATTATTGTAATTTTCATTTTAAAAGACCCTGTATTTAGTTATAACCAAAAATATTTTAGAGTTGGAGATTTGGAAAGAAAATAATACTTTGATAGTCCTAATGGTCAAAATCAGATGTAAATAAAGACAGAAATTGACTATATGTGTGTGTAAAATATATAAATTTCTAATTTCAAAATTTTTAATTTGTAGATAAATTTTGTATCATCTTTATTCTGTTTTTATGGTTTATACTAAATTGAAGATGAGAAGAAAGTATCCTAAAAACAATATTAAAATTTTCAACATTTAATTTTTGTTTTTATCATATAACATGAGCATAATTATTTGAATATATTAGATAAATGTAAATGTTTTTAAATAAAAAAGGCAGACAGTATATTCACAAGATAAAAAATATAGAAGAAACTTCCTTTCTGTCCAATCCTATCCAATCACAAAAAAAGAGTCTTTGCAGAGATACCCTTTTATTAGAGGCTATGCCTTTACAAAATTATATAAAACAGTTTAAAAAAAGCTCACTGATAAGCCAAAAAATTATAAAATATATACATAATTTCAATTAAAAAGGTATATGGTATTTCACAATAAATTAATCTGTTTTACAAAATTTTGCAGAGAAATTTTGAAGCGTCTAATAAAATGTTGTGTCTGTGAAGAAAGACTGTTTGTTTTTGTAACTGATTGGACATGATGTAAATTAATTTTTATAAAATTGTTAATTTGTTTTTGATTTAACATTATATATACTGATGATAAAAACCTGCACTTATGTTTCAAATATTATAACATAGTTGCGTAACAACATTTTGATCATCCTTTACTTTCTGTGACTATTGAAGTATTTGCAATTAATTTTATTCTGACAACTTTATACATTTTATTCATTTTGTTTTTTTTTTCTTTTATTAATTTGAATAAATTTAGATTTTAAAAGCTTATTATTTTCCTCAGGCAATAAAATACTTGCTAAACTCTAAATGTTTTATATTTTATGTATTAGGAAATAACTAGTTTATTTATCTGATTTAAATCAATAATAATTGATGGATGATACAGAATTGCTTATTTTATTGGCTATTACAACTTGCAGATAGATCATAAATTGCTTGTCTTATAGATGATAAGTACGTATTTGTAATATTATTGATGTACTTGTACTTTTAATATCATCATCAATTGATATTATAATCACTATGTCAAATTTCTGATACTTTTTTCTGAATTTTATATTCTCTTGTCTTCTTTCTAATAAGTTTTTTATGTTGTTTAGAAATGTTGACGGTGATTTGCTTACTTCTTCCACTTTTGTAAAACCTGAACACATCTTGAATAATAATTTTTCGCTTATTATACAATGCTCGTCAATATTTTTTCATGTCTTTGAATAATTTGAGCAAAATATCATTGATAAACCTTTGAATTACAATATTGATATGATCTGAAGGAACAATTTATACTATTTTAAGGTATAATTCTTGTTATCAGTTGTAATTATGCAACAAAAAAGTGAATCGCAGCATATTAATTGTGGGTGATAATATATACATTAAAATATTTGCAACATAGTGTATCTCAGATTGATGTCTTTCATATCAGCTGTTTACTCCACAGTAAAATTCATCATTAGTTAGCTGAAGTGTGTTTTAATATTAGGGTTTATCTTTGTTATATAACCACAAATAAAGTATCTCTACCATTGTTCCTTTGACCTATTATAATCAAACTGATCTTACAAGTTAAATATCATCTTTGTGCTCTAAAACCAATTTTAAATGCATAGCATCTGACACGTAGCATATGTTTGAGAGAAAATCTGAAAAAATTCATTACATAGTGAGTGTGTTAACTTTCTCACATATCAAAATTTTATCTTTAAATGCTATTAATCATCAAACAACTTTCATACGTTATATAATTATAAATTTAGTAGCTTATTAATAATTAATACACAGATTTATTTATTTGCCAAGATAGGAAAAAAATACATAAATTATATAATAATGATTTCAGTAATGAATTATATTAAACGTTTACTGCATATACTAAAATTACAGTGTTAATTCTAACTACAGCTATATGTATAAAAAGTAATTTGCAAATGAAAATCAACTCTTTTTACATAATTTTTATTCCTGCAAAGTGCTTAGTAATTAAATATTTTATGTTAAGTTTTTGTGCATCAATTTAAATAAATTTCAGCTAGGAATAGTTATTAGAATTGCCCCAGCATACTGTTGATAGTCATCAGAAAAAACTTAAATAACTTGTTTTTATGCTGAGCTGTAAGTTCATATTGAGTATAAATAAAATGTAGTTTCTTTTTCCAAAAGAAATTTCAATGAAAAAAGTACTTGGATAAATGGATTGATACTTTTTTTTTTATTAATTAAATTCAAAGATAAGAAATCAAATTATATATTTCAATATAAAACAATTCTGTAAAAAATTAATTTACAGAAAATTTTCAAATTATACAAAATTATATCAATACTTTATTAAGGAGTGGATTTTTATAGTTGTTAGATTTTAAATACAGTAAACCTATTCTAATTTGGATCCTATCAATTCAAAAAATTTAAAATTTCTTGGTAATAGAAAAATTATAATGATTTCAATGGAAGTCTTTGTTATATCATGCATTGTACTATTGTAGTCGATACGTTACTAAAGACTGTACGTTATTGTATATTTTACTGTCGTGAAATTTTTTGAACTTATTTCCTATAATAAACTATTGTACTGTATATTCATATACTTGTTTTCTTCATCACCAGAGAACACGCGCCGCTATCTCGGACGTCCATAAATTCAAACCACCTTCTATTAATCCAAGTTAGCAAGGATTTACCGTAATTAAAAGATCATTGCAATAAAGCATAGATTTTGTATAAAAAATAAATTTAAATTATTGATTAGTTAAAGCATAATTATATTTTCATTTTAATTGGGTTGCAATTTGAAAAAAAAAACAACTAGACCTATNAATAAATTTAAATTATTGATTAGTTAAAGCATAATTATATTTTTGCGTAAATTATTTATTTACGAAATTTTTTGAGTATTTTTTCAATTTTAAATAATAAAATAATAATTTTATTTACAGGATAATTCCATAACATTATTGCATTACATTGTTCGGATATATATGAACCTTTATCAAGAGGTATTTAATAGAATTTTCTTAATTTAATAGTAATAAACTGAATAATAAAATTACTGTATATTCTAGTCTTATTAATTACTTACTTATGTTAAAATTTTTTAAAGAAATTTTTATGTAACTAATAATGTAAAATAAATGAAAATTTGAGTACTATTTGATTATTTTTTAGTCAAAATGGTACTTAATATATGTGTAATTAAATAACAAAATATTTGGAAAATTTAAAAACAATTCATAATATATTTAAAATTTTTTTTTCTATTATAAATTTACTTAAATTCTGCTTCATTATTGTTTGTTTATAATGATTGTATCAAGGTCTTCCCCATAACTTAAACTGAATTGTAATTGAAAAATTAAGCTGTAACATTGCCAATTCTTTCCCAACATCAGGATACGCTTCTATACTTGACAGCTCATGAAAATAGAATAAACAGAGAAAAAAGTCATTATATATCGTTAAAATAATCCAGTATGAGTAATTATTCGTGACAGGAAAATTTTTGAAAAAGTTTTTTTACGTTCGGTAGTTATAAAAATTATTCTATATTAAAATAAAATTATAATTGTATATGCAAATTTTATTTAAATTTTAGTTTTACTGAAGTTTTTCTCATAAATTCTTCTGTAAAATATAATATATCGCTGCTTATGTTTATATAAATATACTAATTCAAAAGGTAGTAATATAAAATGCCCATATAAAAGTCTTTGACATTGATATTATGCAGTAATTAATATGATAGCGTTCATCAGCAATTACTAATAAAAGTAAATTTGTCAGTTTGATTTAATAATTATGACGAAAGAAAGCATTTTGTTAAAATTTTGGTTATCCAATTTAAATCAACTCAAACTAGATTTTATTTTATTTAAAAAAATAGTTGTAATGGTTATATGCCCTAGTTAATTCATATGAATCTAGCATCAATCTACACTGTTTGGATAATATAACTGGCAGTTTACTATCCAATTAGTTTTAAGTCATATCATTAATCCAAGTTGACTTTTTTTTTACGTATTAATTTAATTAAATGATTAAATTTTCAATGGAGAGCAACACTATCTCTAATGTCAAATTCATTTTATCAAAAACAGATTAGTAACGGAACTTATTTCTACTCTTAAAACATTCGCAATACTCCATTAGTCAGTCCATGTTAATATTTTATAAAATGGTTTTAAACGCGTACGAATAGAAAATAATTTGAGTTTTTTTCAAATATAATTTATGAAATTTAAGATATATGCAATTGTTACAAACAGATAATATTATTTTTCGTTAAATAAACTTAGAAAAACATCTTCCAACTTAAAACAATAAAGCTACTTTATAGTGTTTTTATTTAAAACATGTAAAAGTCATAGTATGAAAATCTTATTTTAATTAAATATTGTAATAATTTAACTTCTGTAATCAAATCATTTCTTACCAATTAAATTTTAAACGTATTATTTTAATAGTTAAAAAATATAAATTCGCCTCCCGTAAATACATAAATAATAAGCAGTTACCATTAATGAATACAGAGTTACATAACAATAGTTATTTTAAATGTAATTAATGATATATTTTACTCATTGAAAAGCAGTTCTTTATATAGTTTCTATATACATTAGTTTACATTTTCGCATAGTAAAAAAGAAATTAAATCCACAATTAATTTAATAAGGATGATTTGTCTATTTTTAAACTCTAATGTCCCATGTGATGATGGTAAAAAAAATGTTTAAACCTGTATCATATTTTTTATTAATGCAAAATATTTTATTATAGCAGTAGAATATGAGATGTTTTTTGCATAGAAGAATTGTTTTAATTTATATCTAAAATACAATTGATCTTTGGAGAAAGTTCTAAAGGTTTTTACTTGAATAATAAAGATTTTATATTTTATGTATTAGGAAATAACTAGTTTATTTATCTGATTTAAATCAATAATAATTGATGGATGATACAGAATTGCTTATTTTATTGGCTATTACAACTTGNATACAGAATAGAACAGCATTTTTCTAGTAACGTTTTGTTTTTCATTTAATTCATAAATAAAAACGTATGTGAACTTCTTAAAAATTTTCTTTTTAGTGTTAGTGTTATTTATTTTATAATATGGAATCAAATATTGTGAAGAATAGTTTAGAATATTAGTTTAATTTTCAAAATTATATCTGTGCCGAAGACGACAACAAAATATTCCACCGCTTTCCTGTAAATATAAATTGTTGACTTTTGCAGAAGTTTGTTTTTATTGAATTGTAGAAAATATAATGCTCTTTATTTATTTGTTTTTTACTGTTTAAATAAAAATTCTGATACTTAAATATGATGAAAGGTGCAAAGGTATCACGTATTTAATGTTTAATGAACATTACTTGTCTAAAACATCTTTTAATTTTTTGATGATCCATATTTTACTTATCCTAATAAACCATAAAACTAAAATATTTTTTTAAACTTCGACTTCAATCTTAATGAACAGGAAGTGACATTTCTGAACTTTAAGCAGTGATATTTAATATTTGGCAGGGGTCAACCTGAAACTAAAAACAGTAGTAGAGTTTCAAGTTTAAGTTTTTCAATGACTTCTTAAACATATGAATAATTTTACTTCCTATGATTTTTTTTTTGAATTTATTTTAATTAATATGAATCAAAATATTTACTACTAGATAATAGCGAATTTTTAAAAATTCTAATAAATTATATTTCCTTTAGGATACTAATTTAGAAAAAGCAAATTTTCCTCTGCCCGAACCCAGCGATATCGAACGTTCGAGCTTTGTTAACTTTGAAGATATGTCTAAGGATCTTAAAAAGCTTCATACACAAATAACGAGTAATAATTTTTTTTTTCTTTTTGTTATATTAAATAAAATTTGAATAATTGTTCGATATTGCTTGGCTTATCTAAGCTATTTGTTAAACTAATAAATATTCATATTCCAATGAAAATATTAAAGTGCGGCAACAATAAAATTGACAATTTAAAATTGACAAATATTTTTAGATCACTTAAGATTCGTGTTAAGTGACAAATATTTACAAAAAATAATATTAAGTGTGCCGCTATTTCGTTATTTTTTTAACATTTAAGGTTGCGAAAGGAAAGTAGCAAAAGTTGTTAATTCAAATGAAGAAAATCAAGAACCATTTAAACATAAAATGGAAGAATTTTTACAAAAAGGTATTATATTTCTTTTTGTCGAAATAATTTAACTGTGTTACAGAATAGCAATACGCCTTATAACGACAGAATTAAATATATAAAAGTAATTATTTCTTATTTTAAGCTTATAGAGAACACAAAGAACAAGAAGACAATTTAGAAGAATGCAAATTAAAGTAAACAGAAATTTATATTCATACTTTTACATTAAATTATATTATACTAATATTTTGAATATTAATAATTTATAACAGGTTCGCAGAAGTAATAACATTCTTTAGTTGGTCTTCTAAATCAGCCAATAAGTCTGAATGGCCTAAAGAATTTTTCGGTCTCTGGGTACCATTCTGCAATGATTTCAAAGATATTTGGAAGAAAGAATTACAACTGAAAATCAAACAAGAGTAGGTTTTAATAAAACTTAATTGTAAAGATTTCAGTGTTACGTAGATTGCATCATTCAATATTTAAACAATAAGAAATTATATTAGTTACGTGAAACAAAACAGAAAGATTTTTAAATTATTGGAAAATGAAATAATTTCATTCGTTCTTTACTACCATTAGCAACTTTACTGCGTAAATATTTAGTTAACTAGAATTTTTATTCTCGGGCGTCTGAAATATATTTTTGTATGTATGTACGAGAAAATATGAAAGACTTTGGCCATGCACGAGATGTTTACCCAGTGGAAAAGAGGGGAAGGAAAGTGAGGAGATAGATAGTAGAGAAAGGTAGGATCCCTCTGAACAGCGTACGTATGGCTACAGTACCCTCTATATTTTCTCGTACAGGTGTAACAGTAGTATTTCTAACAAATTATCTTATAACATTCTAGTTAATAATTTGTTATTGATATTTTGAATATTGAAGGAAGTGTCACTGTAAGGAAGTATTATAAAATAAAAACATTATAATTGAATCGTACACAGTGTTTTATCAATATATTAACGAAATTTATTTGAAATAATTTGTATTAAAATAATCTTTTAATAATTAAATGATTAAATATTAGCAATTCTTAAACATTTGAACATTTCAATAATATTTAATTCCGTATATTTTATTTCTTTTATAGGCTAGAGAAAGCACGTCAGAAAGTTAAAGAAATGAAGGAGGAAAAGAAAGCTAATATCAAGAAAGTTAAAGAAAAACCAACTGGTTTAGTAAGGATCAAATTATTTAAAGTAATTAAAATTTCTGTTTTCTAACATAATATTAATTGACTGTATTTAATTTCCTTTTTACAGAAAGCAAAACTGGCAAAAAAAGGCATGATCAAAGATGTTTCTGTCAAATCGTGATTATTTTACATACGAACAACCACGGTACATAAAAGTGTAATTAATTTCAAACAATGTTTACCATAGAAATTGAGGCTGGACCTTGTTGTGAATTTATTCCTTAAATGGTTACTGGATAATCATATTATTTTTTTTAGAATTTTTAAAAATGAAAATAAAATAAAAAAAAAAAAGGAATAAAGAAGAAAATGAATTAACTTTATAGAGAACCAACAAATTCAATACAGTATATTACTGTGCTTTTGTACTTTGTGCAATTTTATGTTGGTAATTGGCCTATTCTTTTTCTTATATCACAGTGAACGGTTGATCTGAGATTGTATTTTGTTTTTTAGAATTAAATTATTTTGTTCACAAAAGAAATGCATTTATTTATTAATTAATATCATTTTATAAAAGTCAAATTTTACACGATAATTTAGATTTAGAAGCGCAGTTTTTACGAGTGTAGAAGAAGAAAACAAATTTACTTATTTTAACCTTAAAATTTATATATTTCTTTTAAATCACTTTTATAACTTATCAGATATTAATTTTTATTTTATATTATTTTTAGAGCATCATTTGAAACTTAAAAACAATGCCGCAACTTAACCCATACAGAACTACCAATATGCGCACTTTGGATTTCTCTAAAAATATAAGTCCAATAACTTTAGAATATATTTTTTTCGACCACAAAAAAAAATAAAATAAAAATTAGTTTTAAGTTACATGAAACGTGAGAAGCATATTTTCAATTTTCTTTTATGAACTGGAAATCCCAGAATGACTTTACCCTTGACTTCACCTTGGACAATAAACAACTCTAAAGTCTAGTGTCCACTCCCCAATGAAGGGTGTGAGTGGGTTGATGTATAATGACTCACCCCCACCTTAGAGGTTGAACAACTCATGGGGTGGAGAGAGACGTTTTGGTGGACAAAACTATACCTCTTCCCATTTAATGATGACATTTTTTGTATTCAGGTGGTAAGGGGTGGAATAAAATAAAGTCTATTGCTTCATAAAACTGATAATGCAAATTACAAACACTTTAATAATAATTAAAAGATTATTTAGAAATGATATTAAAATAAATGTAATGGTTTAATTTTGATTAAAGAATACAATACACCTATAATAAGTGTTTATTGACATTTCTATCATATATAACTGTCAAATTGTTTGCTTCATTATTAAATAAAATCCATATAAAGATAAAGCTTTTCCTTTTAGCAATTTAATTAGAATAAAGCCAATTGCACTAGGAAATAAATTAACAATAACAATGTAAACTTTTTTTTTTTTAAAAAAAAAAAGGGTTTTAAAAATGATATCCATTCATCTCCTTCATATATACTTTCTATTTTTATGATAAGAGATAGTGTTACTGAATGGAATTGCGAACTTTTCTTGCAGTGAAAGCGAGATTTCCGAGATAAAACTTGCCTGACAGGTCAATAGGTACAACATATCACTATTTGTTTGTCTGAACTGGAGCAAGATTGGGATAAATAGATGAGTTCAACGTCTGTATGTATCTCTAACCTTTACTGCCAAGCCACTACTAATTACACAATTCGTTTGCTGATGTTACATTTTTATCGTGAATATTTACGAGTATCCTAAACAGAAACTAGTTCCTTGACCTTCTATGAATCTGAAGAAAACTTTGAAATATCTATGTGTGTAGCCTACATTGTTTAATAATCTTTACATTAAGTTATATTTAGAAATTAAATCTAAATAACTTTGTAACATTTTACTTGTAAACAGAACAGAAAGAGTACATAGTAACTAATACCAGTCGACCCCCCTATAACACTGTTGATTATTCCGTTTTATATGAATTCCATGTTGTACGAGTCACTTAGATTTTACAAATACGTGTGCCGTTCAAAGGCCGGCACACGTATTTGTAAAATCTAAGTGACTCGTACAACATGGAATTCATATAAAACGGAATAATCAACAGTGTTATAAGGGGGGGTCGACTTGTATCTCATTTTGAAAAACACTTATCCTATATAGATTCAGTGAAAAATAGGCCAAGAATGAATTGATATTCCTAGGATATGTATAAATTGTGTAGAGTAGGCCACATTAAAAGACACATTTCGATTTTAAAAAAGTAAACTTCCGTATTAAGACAAGATAACCTGTCACGTTAAAAAAATAATAAAAAAAATGATGGCTATCCCAAATTGTATAAAAATCATGGCATAGTTAATGGATCACATAATTAAAACATTGAAGAAAGTTAATCATTTAACCATTAAGAGCGATAATTTTATATTATAAATGATATTGAAACAGGTTAATAAGCTCATAGAAAGTTTCCAAAATGAGTTAAATGGTGTGGGCGTTATGACTTTTACTTCAAGGTATGATGCAATCACGTCGAATCTTTTTTTTTTTCTTTCTTTTTTAAATTTTGTTTTCTAGTAAACATATTTTTGACTTGTATGCCAAAATGTGATAAGCTTTAAAGAGAGAGAGATAGGTACAATTTCATTTATCACAAATATATTCGCTTTCTAATTATGATTCGTGTAGGAAGATGGCTTGAAGAAAATTATATTGACCTAAAACAGATGCATATGCTAAATATGAATTTCTCTTCCCTAAATCTGTATACTTTATTCGCAACGTAAACAGGACGTGTTTGTGCATCACCTATCAACGCAAATTAGCTAGAACGTCCTTCGGTATGCAATTCTTTTTGTAAACAAATCGACAAGTGAAGATGCAAATTGATTATCTTCCCATTCGCATTCTGCATTTTTTTTTTTTTTTCTCTCCCCACAACTCAGGCCATGGACCCGTTTCAGCTTCGAGGACAAATCAACACGTGATCTAGTTAATACTTGATGAATATACAAAAACAACGAATTGATTGATATGATCTACTACTAATGTCTGTTGAAGTGTATGAATAATGTGTTGACTGAATAATATCTTATACCCTTTGACTGCGTATGTATGTTTTCTTAAAGACGATACGGTATTTTTACTGAATATTTGATTACATTTGAGAATTTTTAAAGAGTGTGTTTGATTTATAACAGGTAGATTCGTACGGTTTGTTGGTGTTAAAAAAAAAAGAGGGGTAAAAACGATTAGAGGAACCAATTAGAACTCGTTAACACAAAACGAAATAGCCAGTATAGGCTAAAATATTCACCTCGTGACATTTTCGCGACAAAAATGGATGTTACGTCAGCTACTAGCCATTAGAACGTCATCGCTACCTGCAATCATCAACATCCCAGATGGCAGTTTAGTCAGACGAGCCTCATGCAGCCACGAAGCTCTTGCCTTGGATAACTAAGTGGCTTGTAAGTTGTCTCTGTCAGTTGATGCTCTGAAACACATCCTCGTATTCTACATCCTGCAATAGGTGAGTAACCTTGGTCACTAGCCTCGTATGCTTTTGTAGTGGGTGTTTGCAATTTTTTTTATTTATTTTTTTTTCTCCAAAATTATTTTTATTTCCTGTTGTATCATTGGAGTTATTACTTTCAATACAAAAATATCTTAGATATTTTAGCACACACCTGGTTATTGGCAGCATTATTGAAAATATAATTTGTAAGTTTTTTTTTATTTCTTTTCCTATATATTTTAATTAATTTCTTATACTTTTTAATTATTTTATATGCATTTAATAGAATATTTTTAAATATTTTTATTCTATAAAATGTATAAATTTTCTTTATAATCTTGGAGATATTTCTAAAAATACAAAATAGTTAAAAATAGAAGAGAGAGAGAGAGGACCTTTAATTTTTACCTCAATTGTGACAGACTAAAATAAATTGCAAATTCTTGCCTCAATTAAAGTTCTTGAAAGATTTTTCTGATGCAAAAAATAAAAATAAATAAAAAAATTGTTGGCTAAATGGAAAAATTCCTAAATTCTACATTTTCCTTTTTGGAATTTTTGGAAAAATTCTTAGAAAAATCAAAAAAAATGAAAAAAAAAATTTGCTAAAAATCTATTTTAATAATTAGTTCATGATTTAACTCTTTTATTTATTAATACGATTAAATTCAATTTAAAGTGTGGGTGGGTTACGCCGTTACGACGAGGCGTTAACATGACTACTTTAAAGTACTGACCTTCATTAGCGCGAGGCCACACCTGAAGAGTGTTTAAGATTCCACCAATTCACTTATTGAAAATCGATCGTAAATTTTCCAGTCTCTTATGCTCCTTAACTATAAAAAAAAAACAACTCCATAATATTTAATTACACTTTTGTAAGTTTACATTTTACTGTATAATATATTTGTTAGTTCGGCAAAGATAAAACAAAAAAAAAACAGTTTGTCATACAGTAAATTTTTAGTGTGTTTTACTATACTAGGCAAAGTTGTATAAGGTGGACAGTGTACATAAGGTTGCTGCTTTAAAATGATTTATTTGCTAGACAGGATATCCGTTCTACAAGAACCGCCTTCAGCAGAAATATCGTACTAAAGTCAAACCATTCATTCAGTTTTGTTTACATTGTCTCACAACAAAGTCGTGTAACATTATCCTTAACACACCCTCTTACTACATGAAAACAGTGTATATATATATATATATATATCCTGCCTTATTCTGTAACCAGTTTAACTTGATAGGTATGTGTGTGTGAGCGTTTAAAATGTTTTATTTTACGTAATAAATAATTCACCCACCACCTTATAGAATTTTAAACCTTATTGATCTTTGAAAAATACTTCAAAAAATCCATAGAATATAAAATCAATCTGTAGAAAACTTAAATTCCAGTAGCCATAAAGTGTTTCGAGTTATCATTTCCTTATTTATTTGTAAGTGTTTCGTAGAATTTCTACTCGTATTGAGTGGTTTACTTCGCAGAATCATTTATATATATATATATATTTTTTAATTAAAACACCGCAAATTGCCTATTATATCGTAATTTTTAATGCTTTTAAAAGCGGGTGGTCTGATTTTTTTTTTTTTTTATATATGAATCATGAAAATAATCGATGCATTTCTTGTTTATAACACTTAAAAATGTATCTAAGAATAAACTCCCAACGAAATTTGTTACATTTTGTATATCATCATCATCATCATTTTTATATTTTTGTGCCAAAAACCCGGTATCCATCTCTGTTGTAATATACTTACGAAACATCAGGAAGAAATTTCGAATTTTGCCAAAATTAATTGGCCCTACTTCCAAAAACACCTTCATTTCCAACTGTATTATTGTTACAACGCTTCCGGGTTCATATATAGGCTATATATATATACATATATGTGTGTAAACATGCATAAGTTATATACTACAGCTCGACAAGTTGTTAATTTTCCGTGCAAAAAAAAAAAAACATAAAAATAAGTTAAATTTAGTGCTGTTAATGGATTATAAATGGTGCATTTAATGTTTTAATGCAAGAATATTAAAATTAATTTATTTTATTTGTTTTAAATAGAAAGGAAAAGAGGGATGGAGGGGATAGAAACAAAAGAAAAGAATGAGAAGGGAAAGAAAAAGTGAAAACGCGACCCACCGAATTACGTGTAAATTTTGCAATGCGGATCGCAAAGGAAAATAATTGAGTGTCCCAGGAATATGGTATTCGTAAGCAAAGCGTCAAACAGTCGCGCCAGTTTGGCCAGACGCCAACTGTGAATGGGAGGGTTGGTATGAATGGGATAAGCAAAGCCACACTTCTTGGCTTGGATCGACCATAGGCGCCACTTGGCTGATCACATGACTATCGTGGCGTCAATGTCAGTCTGGATGGCTGATCGTGACCTCACGTCTTAGCACGATACCTGCACCATTTGAACGGAAGAGGAGAGAGAGAGAGAGAGAGAGAGAGCTAAGGAAATTCAGGCCATTTGGACGATTTCCATGCAAATGGCTACCACCTCTCTAATTGGCTTCATAGCGATTTCGTTACTATTTTTATATATTATATTTATCCATACGTTATCAGAATTTTTTGATATATGATGTAATTGAAGAAATTATATTTAATACAGCGATTAAAGTACAGTATTATTCTTCTTTTTTTTTTTTCAAAAAAATTAATTTTAGTGATATACAACTTCCCGCTTTTAAATGCTATCAAATAACATCGTATTTTGGCATATGCGATCCATACTATAATATGAACTTTTAAATTATCTTTACAGATAAGCATTTTAAGTTAAGTTCCTACATAAACATGTAATAGGATACTAAACGGAAAATGTTTAATTTATATGCTTGTATGCTCGATTTTAACCCATACAATTTGATTTTTATTTGATTTTTATTTTCAGAATTCGCAATGCAGAGGTACATTGTTACCTTCTTCATTCTCATAGTTATGACAGTCAACCAGATGAGGACAGCTGGCAGGAAACGTAAAGATAAGGATGGAGAAGAACTAAGAAATCAAGATGTTGTATTCATATCGTTTCTGAATAAAGAAGATATTAGAAATCAATCACTCAAGGATGAAAGTTCTTTCTATGCCGATTTAGAAAATTTTGGTAACATCGAATTGGAAGGAAACAAAGTAACAATAGTGGTTCCAGTTGAAGAAATAAGAAGAAGAAAACGAAAAGGATGTAGAAATAATTGCAGAAAACATAGTAAAACAAGTACTACACAGATGCAAAGCAATCATACGAGAAGACAGAATACAGATAGTAGTTTATCATTACTTAAACCACACGGAAATCCAATAGTAATCATGAAAGCAGAAAAATTCAGGAAAGATTGGTGCCGAACGGAAAGAGTTAAACACAAAATAAGCGAACAAGGTTGTAAATCGAAAATCATTACGAATAACTTCTGTTATGGTCAATGTAATTCTTTCTTCATCCCACGACAGATAAGAGGAAGAAAAGATCTGAATAACTTTCGTTCGTGTTCGTTTTGTCAACCCTCCAGTTCTAGATGGATTAGTGTAATCCTTCATTGCCCACAACTTGTACCACCATATAGGAAGAAAAGAATATATCGAGTCGATAAGTGCCACTGCAGTACAAAAAACATCACGTAATCGTGATGTAATTTTAGTCATAAGATTTTGTTTTATGTGACATGTTTTAGTGTCAAAAAAAAAAATTTGTTATACTACTGTTAATATATATATTGACTTCCACCCCCCAACAAGTTATATTTTATAAAAAAAAAAAAAAAAAAACATTTCTGTTGATTCGTGTTGTAAAATTTGCTTATTCATCAATATTTATTATTGCTTTATCATTTATTATATACAACAATGTCGGGTGATTATTTTATGTATCGATAAGCAGTATTTTTAACTCTTAGAAGTTCAGACACCACGTTTTGTATAATACAGTCGACCCCCCCCTATAACACCGTTTTATATGAATTCCATGTTGTACGAGTCACTTAGATTTTACAAATACGCGTGCCGGGCTGTAAACGGCTCACATATTTATAAAATCTAAGCGATTCGTACAACACGGAATTCATATAAAACGGAATAATCAACAGTGTTATAGGGGGTCGACTGTATATATACTATTTTTCTAAAATAGAATTAAAATGTTAATACCGAATTAAACTCAGTAAAATATAAATAATATGCGGGTTTTATAGATGATATATATATATATATGTATGTTATTCATTCCCACATTTTGAAATATTCACTTTTTTTACGGGTTGAATATAAAATATAATGTCACTGGCGTGACTACAAAATAAAGCTTTTTTTGGTCGTATCCGAGGCTCCGAGCTAAAGTACAATGTGTAATAAGTTCAAAGAAATTATTGTTTTTTTTTTTTTGTAGTTTTTATTTAATTAAGTATGAAAAGTTTAGCAATAAAAGTTGTTGTCATGAATGTTTTCCTGTCTCACTTCTGAGTAGCGCAGAGAAATGGTAAACGGTAGCGGAGGTTCAATAATCTCGTCAATTAATTTCGCCATTGGAGAAATCATAAATGAGATAAAAGCTTTTTTCTTTTCTGAAGAGGAAGCTGAAAGTTTATTTTCATCACTTTAATAAATATTCGAGCGCGGATGTCAACACCATCCCCATCTCGCGAAATATCGAAGCGCTTCTAATGGAGTCGGCGCCAAGGAACAAGCAACGGGGCAGACATCCTATCGGAAAACAGCACAGACAACCAGACTAGATAGTGGATGATGTATGACAGGAATTGTCATGTGGTTTGGCCGACATGTCACCATTCTACATCACTTAGGTCATCGCTCTGTGGACTACACCCACACCCGCTCGTGGCGGTCAGGTCAACACTGCTCTCTCTTTCTCTCTCTTACAACCGCTTTTTTTTTTTTTTGGTATCATTCTTCTCGATCATTATCCGATCTGGGAAATAAATCACGCCATAATGATAATTTAATAGTTACTTCTTTCTGTTTACTATAAAACAGGTAAAATTTCTTATAATCGTTAAACGAATGTTACGTCGAAAATTAACATACTTTTTTTAAATTTGTAAATATTAATACTCTATAATTTATTTATAGTAATATTTTATATGTTAAATATCTAAATAATTACGATTTTAATTAATAACGTAATTATTAGTTAAAATTTTTATTTTAATTTCGATAATTTGATTAAAATTTGGCAGGTGGCGTTGATAATTTATTTACGTTTTTATACTACACGTGGTTGTCATGTGGTCGGCGTTGAAATATTCGAATATTTATTTAAAAAATGTTGCAAGTTTGAAAAATTTATTCTGTAAAGATTATGAAAGATGGAAACAAGGTTTGATTTTTATATATTTATTTGATAAATGTTTGAAATTTCACATTTTAAGACCACAAATTCAAATTTTTACAATAAATCAGCACATAATCTGTTTACACAATTCTTTTCTTTAAATGAATTATACACTATTAAACAAAAATAACATGCCGTTTTTATTTAAAATAGAGTTATTATTTAGCTTTATAAATATTTCGATATGATAAAAATATTTAAAAGTTTATTTGTTATATTTTTTAAAAATTTGCGTAAATTTTAAAACAATTTACAATTATGTACAAAATAAATAAAAATTTTGAACGACACTTAGTCTTTATTTAACTGTACATCGTTTTCTCCACCCACTGAAAAAATAATTTTATTTATAATTTTTTACATTATTAAGCTCTTTATATTAATTAAAAGAAAAAAAGAGTTTACCTCATCTAATGTAAATGTTGCTCTTCCCATTTTTAATGGATCTCTTTCCTTGAAAATTTCTATTAAAATAATAATTTTATTTAATGTTTAGTTTTTTATTTTATCAAAGCTTATCTTAATATTAATAACTAGTGGATTTTAATACAGTCAAATCTCCAATAGCAGCTGCTCTTTCACGAACCTTTTTTCTTTTGAAGAAACATGCATACAAAATAACTTCCAAATAATGGTCACATCCAAACAACAGCCATTACTTAAGTTCTCATCAGAGGTTTGATCTTATATATTTTTACTTTAATAATAATTCTATTAGGAAAATATGATAAGACAAAATTGTTTTATCTGCTAGACTTATATAATTTAAATATTGTACTTCAATAAAAACTATTACATTATTATTGTCATTAAAATGTAATTAATTAATAACTATGTTCATCCATATATCATTTGACATTAAAATAACATATGAAAGTGTATACAATTTTCAATTTTACTTTTAAAACTGTCCTCAAGATTTAATCATTTTGATGCTTTTTCAAATTATTTGCATCAATATCTACCATAAAAATAGATATAATAATGAAGGAATAGTTCTCCAGAAAAAACTCAAACACTAAAATAAAGGAGGATTGTTGTTATAATGAATCTTAAGCCTTAGCACCTGTCAGTCTCATCCTATCTTCCCAATGACTTTCCTTTCTCTCTTTATTCATAGAACATAATTTAAGATTTTTATAGAGTATCTTACATCATCCATTATATGCCATAGATATCAGATCCATCAATTTCTGCTTCAATTTTAATGGCAAATTAATTTTAAAGAACAAAATATTAAAAAGTCTCTTTAAAATTTATTTACCATTAAGTGCTTTAGCTTATCATTCTTACAGTGTAGTATAATACAGCATGACGTCACACTACGGAACCTGTGACCGGTGCTCTCTACGTATATGTTAAAATATCACCGGTCACAGGTTCCGTAGTGTGACGTCATTTTCATCCCGGTGCTGTGGATAGAATAGTTTCTGCATTTATAATACAGCATTTTTACAGTGTAGTATAATGCTTTAAACTTAAACTTGCAAGTTAATTTAATGATGTTTTTAAAGTTAAGTTTAAACATTATACTTAAATTAAGGTTGCCAGATTTCTACAACTGGAGTAAAAGACACCTAAAATGATCTAGGCACTAAAACTCAAATAGTTTTAACCTATGATATGATATCCTAGTCTCAGTCATTATGAAGCCAAGCATTGAAAAATGAAAATAAATCACAAATTATTGAAATAAGAAAGAATACAATGGACAAAGACAATTTAGCTAAAATAAAGGATTGTCCTTTGAAATAAAGGACATCTGGTAACCGTAATTATACTGCATAATTGGAATCATAGATTGTTTTTTTTTAATTAAATATTTTAAAAATGTTTTCTTCTTATTCTAAAGTAAGATTTCTAACAAGTTATTTCTTCAATGATTGAAAACTTTAATATTATTTTTCAAAGCATAAAAGTAAACAATCAAGAACACACTCAACAGAAATGTGTCCAATATTTCTCCATATTCACTCATTTGTTTAAACTGTGTGCAGCTCTCAAGAACAAAAATAATATCTACAATGTTTAAATTTGTAGTTTTCATATATATAAATATGAAAGTTTCATTATGCAAACATAAATCTAGCTAATAATACAATAAAATTTATTTCTTACATAGTTTAACTAGAAAGTAAATAAGAACAGTATACTAATTATTCATACTTAACTAATAATTAATTATGCTCAGTGGGATTATCCCATCAATCTACATTCCAGGAACAAAATTCAAACTCAAATAACTTTTGATATGCTAATACCACTGAGAATTAAACATATGGCAATAATTATAATAATTGTATAATAATTTATATTGATACAAGTATTTATACCATGCAAGCATTTAATCAAATAGAAAATATATTATTATTATATAATAATAATAATATAAATAAATCTAAACATAATGATAAACTCTAAACATTCATATTATGGGGGAAAAAATTGTTAATTTGCTTATATAAGAGCTATCCTGTATGGCTGAATTACACTTGATAAAATCTTATTTTTTTATTTATATTAAATACATAATATAAATTTTAAAATATTTATATTATTCATAAAAATGAGGAAGCAGATAAACTGTAAGAATTACAAATATCTTAATTTGCATGTAATAGAGTATAAGGAAGTCATGTATGGGTATATCTTATCAGAAGATTTTCCTATCACTATGCATCTTTTATCAAAAGCTTTATGAAAAACTGTTTTATGTCATTCATTTTTATAAGTCAAGAGTAATATTAAATTAACATAAAATTGCATAGCATATCTTAGCTTGACAAACAAACCTATTGTTATTTTTAATGTTGATATCGTAGTCAAAATCATCTACCATCTCTTTAAAATCGTCAGTCACGTATTTTTAAAATTTTACTATATTTTGTTTCATTATAAAAAAAATATAATTTAAACTAATTTCTGTTTAATGTAAATTCATTATTTATAATTATTCAATGACTATAATCATTTGTTATTCATTCTTTTAACTGTGTAAAACAATTGAATTCTTACCTATCATTGTTTTCAATTTAACAGCGCACATAACGAAATCGTCAAATGTAATTTTCCCTTTCTTTCCATATCTCAAAACCAGTGCTTGAAGAATGTGAAAATTAAGGCGATAACCTAGAAGAATAAAGGGAGTGCTTATATAAGTAATTTATCATAAAAATTATTATTAATGTTTACTTGACACAATCATATGTAAAAATTAAATTTAAGAATTAAAATGTAAAATACAATGGTATGATATAATTAATAAAAGACAAGTATAGTTTAAGTTCATAGAACTTTTTATTATTATTATCTCAAATTACATATCTTACTCACACCATTATGAAAACAGTAGAATGATGTTTTATCTGATGAATCATGAAATAAACCTTACCTGCTGAATTAAGTGCTGCTCTCAGTTCCATTGTATTCAGTGATCCACTGAAATCTTTGTCATATAATTTGAATACATTCTGAAAGATATTATATTAATTTTATATTAAATTTTATCCAAAACAGAATTTAATTAATATAAAATGATTTTTGTTTGTCTCTATTGATTACTGTATATACAAATTATATTTGTAAATTGTAATAATTATGTATTTACAAATAAACTCAAAGAACCAGAAATTTTGTATGCTGTTTTTTTTATGCTCAGTGGTGGCTCAATGGTAACTGTCACCTGAAGCAAAATTGATTTTTGCAGCCTGTTTCTAGAACAGTTTACATTAGAGAACACTTCTAGAACTGGCACTTCTTGTACAAAATATTCAGCTTATTATTTTTACATTTTTTCTCTTTTTGAACAAATACTGACTGCTCATTTTGCTGCTTGAGGCAGTCATTTCATCACCTCGCCTATCGAGTTGGTCCTGCTTATGCTATTTACAATATAAAATAGTTTAAAACATTCTGATTTTTTGGATCAATTACTCATTATCTGGAATTTTATAATATGGTCCTGTAATAACTTTCATATTAAAATGAGCAAATATTTCATATAAAGAGTGTTACTTCCAAACAGAGCTGCTGAGATACGGACTAGATTCCAATATAGGATGCTGTAGGATTCATTGCCCTACTGCATATGACAGAAATAATTTTATGATATTTAAATAACAATATCAAATGTATTTTAATTAAAATATATCAAAAATTATAAAAATTGTGATAATTTATTATATTGACAGGCCTTCTGGGTCTCATACAGCCTAACAATTTGTAAACACCTTCTCCGCAGTATTTTTAAAATGATGCTGGTTCCATCTTTATAAGGCTCTGATTATTTGAATTAAATATTTACTGCAACACTTACTTGCTACAGAAATTTCTAAAGACATGAATTATTATAATTCTGAAAACTCATTATATAATAATAATAATAAAACTTATCATATAATTAAACTGTTTTCATATTTTATAAACACTACACACTTACGTTAATAATAAAAAAAGAAAACTATTAAAAAATATAGATTTTGTGTGTATGTAAACCTTAATATCTTCTCAGTCATGTGAGAAAGTGTTATGTGGGTCTACAAAAAAAATTAAGTTCATCTGTTCGGTCAATAGGTTAACAGGCTTCTCATAAATTAGAAAATATTAAAATAAAAATAAAAAAAAAACTATGTGATGTATTTAATAATAATTGCATACTGTTTTGATAAATATCTTTTTAAGTACAAGAATATTAATATTGATATTTAGAACATTACATTAACATAGTTTCTAATTTTACATATTTTTACTTGTATTGCATGTAATTGGAAATTCATGCAGTAGCAAGGATCAAATTAAATGCAGCTGTTCAAGTTTTGATACAATTTTTCATACAGACATTATCAAATTTTAAATTAGTTTTCACGACTAAAAAAAAATTTCGAAAGTGCGAAAGGCATTAATCTAATGTAAATTTATGTATATTAAAGTCTAATTTTTTATTTATATATTAAATAAATTCAGACATTTAGGAGCCTAAACTTTATATAGTATTGTTTTTTTAACTTTGTTTAGTTTGTCTTTAACTCTTATAATTATATATAGAAATAGATTCGTAGTGAATATTTAATTAATTAAAGAACTAAATTGGATAGATAAGGAATAATTGACAGATTAATTATATATGAATGTACAACTTATCAATAGATGAATCAGGATATATTTGAGTACTAATATGTTATAATCAGTAGTGTCACTAGAACTGATATTAAGGAGGATTTGTGTTAGAATATGCAACCCTATATTCACCTTGGTACCATTGTGGATGTAGCCATTAGTGCCGTGAAAAAAAAAAAAAAAAAAAAAAAAATAGAGTAATTAAATTAGTAAGCTCTTAGGTATTGTTTATACACAAGTATAAGTGTATTTTCACATTCAGATCTTTTTCTGGTACTTATCTGATTTATTTTTCTTAATTCATTTACAAAGGCAAGAGCCTAGGCCCCCAGTTTCCCCCAGTTACATCACTGGTTTCAGTTTTTTATTTGGTTAGATTTATGAACTTGTTTATTTAATCATAAATTTGATTTTTTTTGTTTATGTAATGATGTGCCAGCTACAAAATAATGATTTTTTTTGTTGTTGTTCAATTTATTTTTATATTCATTTTGATTTATAATTTAGTAATTATAACTTAGTAGTAAACTATGTAACAACTTTCTGTAACGTCTCAGTTATATATTGAAAATATTTTTATAAAAACTAAATATAAAGCAGTTGAAAAATACAAAATTAAAACTTTATATTTTGTTTTTGGTAATAAAGGAGTCAAAGATGAAGAAAACAAAGTTAAATAATGTTACTAAATACAAGTTTAGACTCCTATATGTCTGAATTTATTTATTGAAGATGAATGGAACTATGGAATTATTTTGTTCTGTTTGAAAATATTATTTCAAAGTTAAATTTAGCATTACCAAAATGATTTAGTAGAAAACTTTTTATTAAATTTACATAAATATAACACGTATATAAATGTATACGTCGACTCCAGTCATCTGTTCGATGTTTCTAGCAGACATAGCAAATGAAATACTTGTTTTAAAATTATTTATTTTTGTTTCTCAAATGACTTTCTTAAGGAAGTTCACTCACTCAGCTGAGTTTTTTTTTTCTGATACAAAAAATTTGCCATTTGAAAAAAATTTTAAAGTATTTTTTTTTTTTAATGTGTTGACAAATGAGTCTGCTTTATATGAATATCTTTATTTTAACTTTAATTTTTTATACTAATTTTATAAATTTAATTTGCATGAATTAATAAAAGTTTATTTTGATATTAATCTGATATTTTCTTTAACAATATTTTTTAAATTAGCTATATATCTATAATTAATATATAGAACAACATAATTATAAAAAACTTAAAAATGCAATATTAATTTTAAACTGATGTTTCCAGCTGCTTTTATTGATCTTCTTCAGAAAAAAGACCAAATACATTAGAAAAGAACAGAAGCCTAAATATATTCTGGAACAAGTTATTTGAGAGAACAGCAAGCAATCAAGTACTTTGAATATTAATGTTTTAGAATAAATATTAAAAATGTGTATGCTAGACTTTTAAGAAGTAAGTAAATGAAAACCGAGTGTATTTTTTTATGTTTTTCTATATACTGTATCTTGTAAATTAACTATATAATTAACAAAAAATATGTGTAGAAAAAATACCAAGCAATACTAATAAATTGTTTAAAAACTAGATATATGTAATAATAACGTCACACTATCGGAACCTGTAACCAGTGCTCTATGCATATACGTTAAATATCGCTTGACAAACGTATTCGAGCATTCTGTTCGCTCTTCTTCAGGTCAAAATATGTAAAAGAATTTATGGTATCCTCTCTCTATGTTCTTTATTTACCTAACTTTTCATTTGGAGTCCAAATCTAATAAAGCTTTACATGCTGCTGATAGTGTGTTACAGTCTTTGTAATTAATTGCTTGTTGATAGATATTGCTTTATAAATGTGCCATGCCTCTGTATATCTTATATGCTATCTTCTCTGTTTTTTCTGGAATATTTGCATAATTGATATGATATACATAGTATTCTATATACAAATTACATAAGTTTTCGGACATTTTCAGTTATCCCACAGTGTTGCAGCATCATTTACTGCCTAGAGGATATTTTTATAACTAACATTTTTTTTTTTTTTAAATAAAATTCCTTTACTACAGAAATCTCCTTGTGAAATATAATGTCATTCTGGTAATTGTTCCTGAGTTATATCTTTTAGAAATGTGAGCTTTAATTACATAAACGCCCTATATTTTTATATTTGGATAGAAGCATTGTTGCGTTTCTGTTTAAATACATTGGATCTTGGATACTAAATCTTGTCAGATTTATATATATGCATATTTTTTATTTTTCAAAAGAAACAAAAAAATAATAATAATTGAAATCATTATGAATTACAGAATACTTAAAATTAAATTTATACAAACCTTCCACATGCGAATATCAAGCCAAAGATTCCTAAATTCATCTAATCCTAATTTTCCAGTTCTGTCTACCTGTTTATTAATGTTAAGGAAAAATATTCTAATGAAATAGTACTTAACATAAATAAGACTATAATTAAATTCCAATAACTGTTAAATTTACAAAATAACAAGGCAATAAAATCAAAAATCAGGTTTTATGAAATTTAACCACTTTGCTATTATAATTAGTTTAGGAAATATGTTTATTTTTAACAGTTTATTTTATTTAATATTTATTTCTTTAATTAATTTCCATTAATGACTAATAAATTACCATTTTCTGGTATTACATACATATAAGAAGACTACAATAAAATTGTTTTAATTTTTAAAAAATCTTGTTTTTATTCAAGATTTTTATTTTACACAATAACAGCTCTTTATTACAATAACAGATCATTGCAATTTAATGTAATATTAAAATAAGAACTTTGACATAATTAGATTTTGAATTTGTTTTAATGAAATTAAATTATGTTCAAAATTAAAGGATACATCCACCATAGCAATCATACTGCGACATACATCTAGGCTGAAGCCATCAAAATCAATTTCTAGATGAGAGAAAAAATAAGATTAAATATAAATATGAATACTAGATTAAAGAAAATAAAAACAAATCCTTAATTTAAGTTTTTATTTTTTTGAATTAAAATGAATATATTCAGCAATGAATAAATTTTGAAGTCTATTTATTTTTAATAAAAAAAAAAATTGGTTATTTTAGTATTATATTCATTTATCTCATTGTTTTTTAAACAGAAATGACCCACTCATGAAGAATTCAGTAAATTTAAAACCTTTACCATTACATACACAAGGTGTTTTAGAAATTTTTGGCCAAATTTCACAGGTTTATAAAGGAGAAAATCTAAATAAAAAAACTCTCAATGACTGCTTTTTGATTTGAAACTTAATTAACAAGTTATTAAGCATCAAAGTGTAGTGACACCATTTCTGTTTTTAAATCTAACAAATATACAGTATCAGTAATTAAATTCATTTACTAATTACGGTCTTATTCAGATTGTCTCATCCCAGTTTGTGAAATTTGGTCAAACATTTCTGAAACATCTTGTATTGCTATCAAAAGGGTTATATGAAAGCAGGCTACACTTCAACTAGAAGAATTAAAATTTGTATCAAATTCTGCTTTCAAGGTGAGCTTTAGTGCGTATTCGGAATTAAAAAAACTTTAAAATATTTTTAGTTTTTAATAGAAAAAGCATGGAAATATATATAAATTGTAATTACGTATAGACAATGTAATTACGAAATGTAGTACAAGATTATCTCCTAATCGCTTACATTTAGTCCATATTGCATTATATTTATTATATTAATTGGAGAAGTTATAATCCAGAAATTAATCTGACAATATTATTTGATTATTATTATAATTGGGGCTTGGTTGTTTGATAAAACATTAATAAGACAGTTTAAATATAATGAACTTTTGACTAATTTTAATGGCATAAAAATATAGATAATTAAATTTTTGTAACTCGCTGTAATTAATGTTAGATTACATAGTTATAAATTGTGCAAACAGTTAATAGAGACTTACATAAGTAGCAGAACACTTGAAGAAAATATCTTTTTGACTTATTTGATGCTTATCCTGTTACAGATCTGATCATAAAATTGTTAGAGTTATGAATATTAATTTTTGTTTTGTAAAATATTGTTTGAGTATTTTATTTATGAATTATGTACAATTTTAAGTAGACATGATCATAAGTTGAAGTAATGAAAGTGTTTCGATTATAGAAAATCATTTTAACACTAAGATTTTAATTATTGAGTTGCTTAAATTTTTAACAATTTTTCAATAATTAAAGAATAAAATATAAATGATTATCTTAAAATTGCTTTTTGTTAATCTCATATACAATGGGTGATCAGTTAACGAACACATCAGATAACAAACACTTTTGTGAAAGATTTTTGTGTTCGGACAACGAACACATGATCAGATAATGAACACCCACAGAACAAACACAAGAAGAAGCGACATAAAATAATTTATACCAATTGGTCTTCCCTTGTCTTCGGGCAACAATTTGAAACTTTTCGGAGTATGGGAGACATCAACATCGACACTCAAGCCGGTATATACCAATTGGATAGTATTCCTCCGAACTTTGAAACTCTCCCTTGCATTTTTATTTTTCTGGCAAAACAGTTCTTTTTTGTATTCACGAGACTGTTGGGTAGGCACTCGTTATTGTGTCTGCTTTTTTTTTCAAAAGGTGAGATTATAATAGCAAAGGTAGAGAGTTGGCAGAAGATGCCTAATGTTGTTGGGCAGTATAGCATGAACAGGTCTACAGCAGGCCACAGTTCAATCTTATTTAAGAAAAATACTGTATAATCAAGAAGACTCAAGCAGCTAAAGGAGTAACAAAAATCACATCTGAGAAATAAAGAACATCGAAGAGTTCATAACGGAACCTGAAACGGATTCGACGACAGAAGAACGCCAAGAACTCTTGAATGAAGAACATGAAGCAACTCGGCGAGATATGTTTTCTTCTGAAAAAGAGGATTAATGCCGATATCTGTTATTAAAGATCCTTTGAAGAAGTGGGAGGATGTAAGAACAATTGTCTTAGAATGGCATCCAAACCAGGTTGAGGCTTGGGGATTTCTACAATTGCAATGCTATTAATTACTTATGAAAAATCCTGAAGAATAGAGAAAAGCAATCTACATTAGACAGATTCTTTAACCCTTTCAAACAGAAAAAACATGACTAATAAAAACGCAAGACTGTACATGTATGCATATTTATTATTACATATAAATAAACATAGTAAGAAAGTATATATTTTTTATTTTTGGGTGTCTCCAGAACAAATTAATTATATTCCCATTAAAACCTATGGTAAATCGATAATTGGTTAACAAACAATTCGGATAGCAAACAAAGTCTTGGAACAGATTATGTTCATTAACCGATCACCCACTGTATATATATACAGTGGTACCTCAGGATACGAAATTAATCCGTTCCGAAACTGAGATCGTATCATGAAAATGTCGTAAGGTGGATCATCTTTTCCCATACGATTACATGTAAAACCAAATAATTCGTTCCAACGCGAAAAACATACTCAAATTAAAGCCAAGTAATACATTAAAAAAAATAACTGTAGTAAGAAAAACAAATGAAAAATGCGAACTAATGTAATGTCGTATGATGAGTTTTTGTTCGTATCGTGGAGCAAAAATATGTTCGAATTTCATGTCGTATCCTGAAAATTTCGTATGCTGGGGCGTTCGTAACCTGAGGTACCACTGTATATACTTGTATATGTATATGTATATTATATACGTATATATATATACGGTTAATGAACATAATCTGTTCCAAGACTTTGTTTGCTATCCGAATTGTTTGTTAACCAATTATCGATTTACCATAGGTTTTAATGGGAATATAATTAATTTGTTCTGGAGACACCCAAAATTAAAAAATATATACTTTCTTACTACGTTATATATATATATATATATATAGTATGATTTATGATTTTTGTATGAATTTGAATATCATAGTATTGGCTTATTATTTTAATTAATGTCAAGTCATTGGATTTATAGGCATCATTTATAATTTTTTTTAATGTTCTTGAACATTATAACTCATGGAAAGTAATGAAATTATTCATTGAGATGGCATTACACTATAATTGAGAAAACAGCATGATTAAAGCAAGTAAAAATACATAAAATTGATATGTAATAATTTATTAATTTTACACATACACACACACACCTTATGAATCAGTGTTTATTGAATATGAATATTTTCTCAGTTTCAGAATTTTAACTAACACAATACTTTTTATATTTTTTTGTTTTCATTAGTATCACTTCATATTACATGACAATATACAACATATTTACTTCTTGCCTTATGTCTTTATATAACTTCCAACAGATGGTCATTAATAATAAAAATAATAATAATATTCTGTCCTTCCCTTATCCATTCATTATCTTATATATTTTCTTATTTCAATCATTGCTGCTTTAAATCTATTACATTAATAATTTTTAAAATGTGTTACCAAGAAGTTGATGTATTTTTCAGATCTGTTATTCTCTCATTAGTGTCTAATGATAACTACTTTATAGTCAAAACTATTAGTCTTTAATACTTCTCTGGATTCATGAAACTAAAACAAGTGAATTTATCACACAAGACAATGATTCCAGTTATATTAAATTATAAATTAATTTGTTGAAATATGGCTCATTAAAATGTAACAATACTGATATCATTCAACATTTATTAAGAATTTCTAAAAATGGTATAAATTATATTTAAATATTAAATAAGAGTTTTTATTTATATTATTAAATAAACAAAAATAAAATATTTATTTGTATTATATATGTATATATGCTATTAAGTACTGATAACTGCATTAAGTTATATTTTATAATATAACACTGATGAAGTATCTGTCACTGCCTTCTCTAAAAATTGACAAATTTAATAAAATTTAAAAATTATAAGGGATAAAAGTATTATATTTACAGAAACATGTCAAAAATAAATAGACACCATGGATGTTTTAATAGTCATTTATATTACATGATCTGTATTATACTAATTAGTATATTTATTGCTTAATAGGGTGAATATATAGGGTGTCCAACATAACATCACAGTACGGATAAACTCTTGATGCCACAAAATTTTCTGACTTCTAATGTCAGGTTACATCTACAATACTAATTGTAGGTGCAAGGCAATAAGTGTTGTATAACTTCAAGTCAGTTATAGGACAGCTGACAGTGAAAAATTAGAGTATCTGGCAGGGCAGCTAGAGGCAAGTCATTTCTTAAACCAGTCAACATTGCAAAGAGAAAGAATTAGGCAAATGAGATGATGGACTGCCCATTGCCATTTTGGCATTATCATCTTTTCATATGAATCCTCCTTCATACAATTCTGCAAGACATGTATGTGTTTGGAGGGTTGGAGGAGGGTTTTCATTTATGGTGTGGGGCACTATTTGAAGTGACAATCATTCCAAATTCATGGAATGTGTATGCAATATTAACTTTGCAAAATACATTGGCATGTTCAAGAAAGATCATCTTCCAGTATTTGCAGTTCATCTGCTGAATAAGAGCAAAACTATATTCATGTAGGATGGAGCTCCCTGCTGTGTCTTGAAAAAGATCATAAAATGATTTCTCAAAAATGGCATCAAACAGCTTCGTTGGCAAGTCAGTCACCAGATATGAATCCCACTGAGCACATCTGTGCCATGCTTGATTGAACAGTGATGTGCCCACCAGTGGCCAAGCAGTCTTCATACCCTGAACACTGGGAGTTCAGTCATGGGTTTACGCCTCATTCGGATGGGCTGGACAAGTGGAGTTTTCCAGGTTTTCTCCATGTCTGTAATGCCTAAATAGGTGCCAGTTTCCCTTAAAAAGACCTCCCAGAAGGCATCTTCCTTAGGCAGATCACCCAAGTGTTGTGTTGCTGTAGCTTAACAAACAACATTGATTGAACAGTGAGAATACATTTCAGAACACCAGTTTTTTATGGAGAACTACCCAGCAAATCCCACAAGAGAAAATTGCTAAATTCATTAATTTTATGTCAGAATGGGCAAAGCACTACATTTGATCAAATAATGATACAAATTCAAGTGGACAATGTGAAATAAAAGAATTAAAAAAATAAAAATGTCAAAAGTAAATAGGCATCGTGCAATTTTAGCAGAAGAAAATTAGTCAGTTGTTTAATTCCTTAATCATAGAAATAGTGTTATCTGCCAATAAAGAAAACTTGAAATCTTACAAAGCATGTATTTGGCTTCTAATAAGAGAAGCATATATAATTTTGATTTTGAAGAATTTATCGTCATAAATGATATTGGATCAGGAACCTCAAAAATAATTTTTATTCCCCAGAATAGCAGACTGATGTCTTTTACATCAGCCATTTAATAGCCTTGTTGAAGCATACATTTTTTTTAAATATAAAATTTAGTAAATTACAGTTTTCCAGAGTTTAAACTCAGTACTTTACAGTATTATTTATGCTAAGGACTTTTAACTTCCTTACATAAGTGAAGTTTACTTATAAAAGTAACAAATAATTTCTTAAATTATGTAATCTCAAAAAGCAAAGTTTCTGAGTTTACATTCAATAATTTATTTATTAATTCTTAATGCAAATAATTTAAAATTATGAGTCTTAAATTTCTAAACTTAAATTTACCTTTTTTAAAGGCATAATTTAATATTTCCTGCAATTCATTGCAATCTATTTCCATATCTTCTCCTGCCAATCTTGCAAATATATCTTTAAGTTGTTGATCTCTATTTCTTTCTTCTTCAGATTCTTCATCCACTTTAACCTATAAAATTTCATAAACATGATAATAATAATAATAATAAATTTAAGAAAGAATTTAGCATATATTTAAATGGTTTTCTTATGCATAGAATAAACTCCATGCAAAGTTAAAAAGTATTGTTTGATGATGAAATATTTTATACGATGATATAACTTTTTTTTATTGAAAATAAATGTATTGAGGATGTAAATGTTGAGATTAGATATTAGTTTGTAGAAAATAAAACAAAAAGCATTGTAAAAAATTAAAATTTAGCAGCTTTGAAATTTTATAATTAGAATTATATATTTTTAACATAGAAGTACAGCATATGCATTTTTGTTGCTGCAAAATATACACTTTGTTAATAAGCATCAAGAATAAAAATTATTTATTATATTCAGGAGGATACAAAAATAACAATTTATACAGAGAAGGTGCATAATCATTATGTCAGTTGTAATAGGGCCAGAGTTTTTTGAAAACTCCACTATTGGGTTATGGAATACTATGTAGGGAACAACTTTGTACAACAAATTTGGTTCAACAAGTTACTTTGATGTTTGTGTTAACATTTTTTCGAATCACCCTATATTACAAATTTCGATCTTCTACTAGATATGTACTTTTTAATTCCAGAGCTTTTAACTTTTTAGTTCATTTTCGGGGTTAGAAACATTGAATCTTTAATTGTAATAACATTTAATTATTAATTAATTATTAAAAGTGAATAATTATTCACTTTTAATTTACGAGTTTTTTTCCTCAATATTTTTCGTAATAATATCTATAGACTATGAAAAGATATATATATATATAGTTTTGTTTTTATTTACTACAAAAAATATGTATTTTAATAATATATTTTAATTCTATTATTTATTGTCCTTTCAAAGTTAGCAGCTTAATTTCTTTCATGATGTCAACAAATAACTTATCCACTTAGATGTTTTTTGGAGATTTTTGTGGTGCATCATACTTTTCACAATTTTAATTGAAGACAAAGTTTTAATGGATAATATGTCTTATTCTTCTCTTTTAAAAGAAGAAGAAGAAGAAAACTTTTATAAGAGTAAGTGGTCATTTGTCATAAATTTGTTTCTATATATGATAAAAGTATTTCAAGTGTTCATACCAGATGTAACTGGAATTTCTCTAACTTTTTAAGAATAAGAGAATCTGTTCATATATATGTTTTTTAGATGAAGATAAGTATTTTTAAACATCTCAACACACTTGGTTGTAATGTGTTTATGTAAAATATTACTAAGACGAGTTCAATAGCTTACTAAAGCTGCTATGAATAGTTCAAAATATCATTTACTCTTTGCTTAGAATAGATTATAAAATATTAAGGAATTATGAAGCAAAATAGGACTTATAAAAATTAACTTTTTCCTTAGAAAATATCTCTTACATTTCATTTAAATTTTTGAACATATTATACCAAACCTTGTGTGTGTTAATAATTAAATGATACAGCCCGACTCTTACTAGATTACAATATGGTTAATTAATTATTAAGATACAAATCAATTTGAGCTAGAATTTAATCATTTGTTTTTAATGATTAAATTTAACACAAGATGACAACTCGATTGCTTACCTGTACTTCAAATTCTTTATTCTTTATTGTTACAACTATAGGCAAAGCCTTAATGGCATAAAGTAGTCTCCCTCATTAATAACAAAATTAAAAACCCAATTAAATAAAACAATTAAAGAAAACATATAAAATTGTTATAAAAATAAAAAAAAACTAAAAAAACTTGCTTAGTATAATTATCTCTTTCAGAACCAAGCTGTAATATTTAATTTTATTGCACATTTTGTATGAATTTAATTTTTATTTTTAATTCTTTCTACCCTATGATCTCTTAGAGGGCATTTTTTAGCTAGGTCATTATGGGTTTGGCCAGGTCCACAATTGGGCAGCTGAGTAATGAAGAATTGTGACCAACATATTTTTTAGTTTGAGATAAAATATATTTTTTAAATTACAAATCAAGCTTTTGTTTACAATACCTCATACTTTATTAAAACAACTATTTAATTATACTGTATATTGTTATTTGAGTTATTAATCTTATAGTATTATTTAAGTTAAAAGGGATGTTGTTACATTTTTGATTGAATAATAATAAAAGTGAATATATTAGTCAATTTTTACTACTTCATGTTGATTCCATTTAATTTAAATTCAAGAATGGATAAGTATTAATTCCATTATAAACTTTCTAGAATCAATTTCTTAAGTCATTAAATTAAAAGAACTTTCAGTTATAAGAAACCGTCAAAATTATTTTAATTACCATTTAAACGTTTCTGAAACAAATTTAATTCTTTCCCAGAAGCAAATTATATAAAAAGTATTGATGAAGTCATATAACATTATTAAATAATTAATTATTAAAAATAATTATTTTGAATGATATTGAATTATGCAGATTGATTTTATTTAAAATAAAAATTTGAACGTTACTTAAGCGTTCTGGTATGAATGAAGAAGACAATATGATCTTTTATTACAAAGTTTTAAGATCTAAATATGATATAAAAACATTTAAAATATGATTTTAAAATATTCTTTTAAGATTGTACAATTTATAAATATGAAAATCTACTTTGTTTTCCTATAACAAAAATATTTAATTGTGTTGGTTTTAATAGAATAAAGTTTGAATGAAATAATATTGATAGAACATATAAAATAAATTAAAATTATTACAATGCATGCACTTTCACCTAAAAGATAAATAAAAATTAAAGCAATATCACTTGAAAGCCATTTAATAAAGATAAAAGTGCTCGCTTTTATTATACTGACTTTTAATTTATTTTGCACATTCTCGCAGCATTATTTTATTTAAAATTTTATTCTATTGTATTATATAAGTTGGTATAGTGTGTCTTTACTAATACTATATATTGATTTTCTGGAAAAGAATATATCTCAGTTTAATTTCCCACTCCTCCAAACAGTTATACTGCATATAAGACAAAACAAGCAAAGAAAAAAGCATGAAAGGAATACTAATATAAGCACACAGCAAAATAGAATGCATGCTTTCAAGTTAGGAGAAAACAAAGTATTAAGAGACAAATGATGATGAAAAATCATTACACACCCTAAATATATAAAGTTCAAAGCATTATAAAATAAATAATTTACCAATTTTATAATTTAAATAAAAGTAATTCAGAATTTTCAGGATTTATTGTCCTTTAAAAACATTAAATAAGTCCTAAAGTGTATTATTATTAGTAGACTCAAGTATGTCATGTTTCAAATATCTTTTAACTTTATAAAGTACTTAATTATAATTCAAAATTTATATATACATAACAATATTTGAAATTTTATTGTCTACAGTTTGTCTACTGAAAAATATTTACCGGTATAGTAATAATTAATTATTGGTTTTAAGAATAACTTGATGCAGCCTCTATCATTCTAACATTTCAAGACATGATATTCAATTAAAGTTTATTTTAATGAAATTTAAGAACATCAAATTTCATTTTTAATGACAGCTTCTTTGTTTAGTCAAAAAATAACAACTGTAAAATAATTTAAGTATTATTATTAACTATTTGAAATTAATGAACAATTATTTATTGTGACATCATTGCCATGCTGGGCTTCAATTTTTAATCATCTTTTAATTAAAAAAAATATCATGTGACTTCTAATCCAGATTGGAAATTGGTATGTAATTAATATGGGTCTCCAACCCTTAAGCTTTCCATATCTGTTCTCAATGTTAGTAGTGTTTTGCCTCTGTATATCATACTTCTGATAACAGTTGAGTCATGCCAGTCATCTGTCTAACTCCATTGTTAAGAAAATTTTGAATTGCATTCATATAATTTTCAGTCTAGACTGGAAGTTTGTGTATAGTTAATTGGAGCCTCTGGCCTCTAAGCTTTCCATATATAGCCTCAATTTACATCTATCTAACTCCATTCTCAAGAGTAATGAAGGACAAACAGGCAGATACAGATGGATAACAGTGTGAATGTATAGGTTTGCAGTTTGAAAATTTTGTAGTCCGATTATATATACTTGGAGTGCAAAATGCTTAGATGATCAAAGAAAAATTTTAACTTTTCAAATACTTTCAAATTATTCATCCATATTCATCTGTCAGTCTACTATTATGGGAATTTGAGTTCAGATTAATTTAGACTCTTATAATTTATTACGATTAGTTTAGATTGGGGCATCTTTCTATCTTCACCTCACCTATGATGGATATAATATACATTCATAGAGAAAACATGATTAAACTATAAGGAAATTTCGGAGCAGAAATCTAACTGTAAAAATCATATTTTAAAATTATTTATATTGATTTTAAGACAATTATTCAGATTCTGTTTGTATTATAAAGCTAATAAATTGATTTTATCAATTGAATTTTCTACATAAAGCCACATCTCTTACTATGCAAACAGTTTGTAAATGGAAGATCTGTAATTAATATAACTTTGACATTGATTTTTGATTACTCTCTCCCCTATATTATATGTATTCTTATTAAAAAACAGAACAGTTGAGAACAAACAACTGTTAAATATGAAAATGATCTTTTAATTATAAGAATTGTCATTAAAAATTTAGTTTGTTGTTTGTCCAAATAGTGTATTTTATGTGAAAATCAAATTTATGATAATGGCTTCCTCACATGTAATGATTAAATGATTAAAAGTAGAAAAACTGGCATATAAAATTTTATAATGCTTTGAAGTAAAAGAATAAATTTCAATGAGGTTTTTGGATTATAAAAAGTTAGAAAAAAAAAAATTTCATGCGAGCTTACATAAGGATAACGTCTGTTAATTCTTCTCCTGAATCTGAACTGTAAAAAGGGAAATAAAGAGAAAACAAACCATGCAATTACTTCACTGTCATTTTAAAAATATGTCATGCCTATATAACACTATAAGAGATTTTCTATAAGATATTAAAGCAAGCATTGCTAAATATTTGGAGGAATCAAACGGGGAAAATAAAAATTGTATTTCTACCTCCCCCTTCTCCTGGTCAGTTACAGCTGAAGCATCCTTTAATTAAAAAGTGGAAAAAAAAATTAAATTTTTATGCAATTATGTCTACTTTTATAAAAATATTGGATAAGAAATTAATGTTATTTTTCATATTTTTGATATTATTTAAGAAATTTACTTAAAATAATGCTTATTGTATTTACAATAGACTATTGATTATTCAAAATTGAGATAAATTATTAAATTTGTGTTGTTTACAAAGGATTTGATAGAAAGATAGAGCAAAGTGGATTGACTCCAGTCCACTTTATCCAGTAGTCCAGATGGCTTGACTTTGAGGTAAATTATTGATCATACCCATATTTAATGATGATATAATGTTTTTCCAGATAATACCATTTGTACACTTACAGTATGAATTAATACTGTGATGGAAAGCAAAATATTTTGAATATCTCTGAACATCCTTTGGTTTCATTATAGTATGATGCTCACAGATCTGTTGATATCTCTAGAAAGTCTCAATTTATAAGTTAAGATCTATACCTAATACTAAAAAGATTAAGTTAACAGCTTAAAATAATTATAATTGAGATATTATAGGCAACACATAATAGATTTAGACAAGAAGTCTTTAGAGAGTGGTGCAGAAATGAAACAATATGCCTTACAAAAATTTTTTACTACCTGAGGAACCCAACTTTACTTAGGAAAAACCCTCAGAAAAGGAGTGTAGCTGTGCCCTGTGCTCTCCTGAACACATGTTTCTACATTTGTAAACTTTTAAGATCTTTTGTGACCAACACTAACTCATGGTGTGTGGTTAAGGCATCTTGTCTCAGGCACATTACAAATTGTTTTTAAACAGACCACAATATTATAGCTAACATAACCTGTTATGGACATTAATCAAATATTTCTGCACAAATCCAACAATATAAAATTATACTAAATATATATTATGGATTTAAATTAATGCTGATGTGTTTGTATTTATAAACTAGCTGCAAGGACCTGCTTTGCTGGGTTTTTATTTGTATGTAATATAGTTTTTTTTTATATATAAAAGACTGTTTTTCTAAGTAATCTAGAATCTAGCTACAAGGACCTGCAAAAACGCAAAAAATCGCCTGTAAATCTTGCATGCCGCTTTATATTAACACTTCCTTTGTTACTCAACACTTCCGTTGTTAACATTTCCATTCTTAACACTTCTATTGTTAACACTTCCACTGTTAACATTTCCACTGTTAACACTTTCATTGTTGACACTTCCATTGTTACACATCTTCGAAGTCAACCACTTTCAACCCCATATCTCCTGCACCCTTATAGCTATCGAGACGCAATTACCATAGTGCACAAATGGAGACTTGGGGCTACTACCACATACAAACACCATTCATGTGCGATGTGTAGTTTTGGCTAAAAAGTGAAATATAGGGACACACACGTCCATTTTTATATATATATATTATATAGATAATTTGGTTAGACATATTAACATAAAAATATTTTAACCAAAATTAGACAATTGCCGCTTTGAACCTTTAGTGGTTTAGTGACATTGATAATTATTCCATATGCCAAAGCAGTGAATATAGTCTATGTTGATATGGATCTAAAAATGCTTTCTTTTTCTATCTCAAATGTTTTCCTAACATATTTTGGCAAATATAATACAGTAATAGAAAACCAAAGATATGTTTCTGCTACTATTTTCTTATTATTTGTTCTTCATACAAAAATACTGCATACAATCATACTTTTTCATATTAAAAATTTAATATAAGCAATAACTGGATGGAACCAAACTCTGAAACTAAACCTTTAATGTCCACAAGTATTTTTCAAAAGCTTTTAGACAATTAGACCATTTTTTTAGACAATTGAATTTTATCAACAAGTAGTATAGAATTTTTTTCATATATTTTATAATTACCTGGGAAATTATATTTAAAAGGAATAATCAATAGTGTATTGTACTTTTTATTATAATTTATTAAATTGTTTATTAAAAATTATGTATCAAAATCATATTTCACTGCATGATTGAAATTTAATAAATGAGAATGATTTTGATCTTAAGCTAGTAGCGAATAAAATGTGCTGATTGTACTATTTAATTAAGATAATAATAGAATTGAATGTATTTTAAATATTCAATGCATTTAGAATTCACTTTATATATGTTCTATATAATTTTTAGTATATATTTTCATTATACAGGTGATTCAGGAGAATGTACTGCCAATTATTAAGATCATTTTCGGCATAAAATATCCGGCATAATTTAGGTCCTGTTCTCAATAGTTACAGAATAAGTTGCTGTAAACAGCATAACTTTTGCTAATTTGAAGTTGAAAATAAAATGCATTTTTTTGTAATAAACTGTTGTAAATAACATTAAAAATAAAAATAGTTACAGATCCATTTTGCATCAATGTTTACAAACTTAAAGTTTATAAGAGATGATTTTCAAAACTGTTTCCATACAATCTGAATGCCACTCTGCCTAGCTCTACATGCCTATCCTTAATTAGTGTAGTGTCCTGCATAATACATGCAAATAGTTGGTGCATGCTATCCTTCATCTAGCATCCATTCCTCTGCAGAAAATTAATCAGTACAACCTCCTGGATTACTCTGTATATGCACAATTACTTGTCATTTCCATTATTTTAATAAGGTCATTCATATTTTTTAAAAATATGTAATATCTTTGTCGTAATAATGCTAATAATTCTGAAAGAAATATTTTTGCAATTTTTTTCTTTCTGTATGTTATAAGGAACAAGAATAATGGAAGTAGAGATTAGAGAGTAGTTCACTATTCAAAAGAGGTTAATTTTTGGAAATTGAATAAAGTTTGTTACTTCATTAATTTATTGAAACGTGTAAAATAGGTTGCTTTCTTCTTAAATTCATACTAAAATTTGATTCTACTTTATAACAAATATTTTATTATTGTTATAAAATAGAATGCAAGTTTATTTGAAATATGATTTTGATTAATACAATTTTCTTAATTATTTGATAAAAACATGCTAAAATAATACACATTTTAAATTTACCTGTTCATCAGGTTCTGTTATATTAATATCTTCATCATTTTCTCTATAGAAAAAAGTGACATATTATAAAACGATATTTAAAATAAATTTTCATAGAATTGCTAACCAATTTCTTACGTCATAACATTTGGTTTTTCTGTAAATATTCGTAGGACAAATTCACCTTCTTCTCCAGGATCAAATGTTGTTGGAATGATACAATATGTTCCAGGCTCTAATTTAAATCTGCAGCTTACTTCTCGAAGATTGGTGTACGTATCACACTGAGCAACAGAACGATTGTTCAGTAAGTATCTTTTAGGAAGTGGTTTTATGTATAATTCATCTCCAGTAATCTAGAATAAATATAATATTAAAATAAAAATTAATATTTAATATCACTAGCTTCTTAGACAGGTAGAAAATTAAAAATCAATTATTAAAAAATTTAAATTCAATTTATCAATACATTGTTAGAATAATCTTATTAAAATTATAGATAAATATTTTTAGGATTAGATTTTAAACAGTAGAATTTGTTTAAGTATGGATAAAACAATAAAAACTTTAATACATAACAAATAATAAAATTCGGTACTTATGGGTTAAGAGGACGCCAGTCGGAAATAGCGTTTTTTTCTGAATAACGCAATTTTTTATTTGTCAAATTTAATACAATTGTTAAATCAAACAATAAATTACGATTTATAAAGATATAACAAAATTTCACAAATTCTAATAATAAACACTTGAATATGAAAAATGTTTTGTAGCGTATACGGCAAATATGGCAAACAGGTGATATCTATAATCATTCTAATCTTATCAATAAATTTTCTTTATTTTTAGATTTAAAATTTACTAGTCTATTGTTATTTTCATTCAAAATCGTGACTTTGATCGCTATTTCCGACTGGCGTCCTCTTAACCCATAAGTACCTAAAATTTTATGAAATAGTTACAAAAATACTAACAAACACGAACTATAATTCAAGAAGTTAGAAATGCTTCACAAAAGCAAACTGAATTACTAGATTTAAAAATAAAAAAAAATAAATGTTACAATGTCGGAGGATAATTAGTTAAAAAATAATGCACCTTTATTCTAGAAGTCAATTTTTAGTTTATAAAATACATTCAAAAATACAAGTCGACCCCCCTATAACACTGTTGATTATTCCGTTTTATATGAATTCCATGTTGTACGAGTCACTTAGATTTTACAAATAC